CTTGAAGGTACCATAAAGACCTCCCAATTTAGGGATTTTTCTGCCAGGATTTAGAGGAGTCTAGGGATTGTCAGAGTAGCTGTTGTGTCCAGGAAGAAGTGCTGAGTGAAGATAGAGCAAGCATTTCCTATTCTGAGACCCAGTTTTATCTGTTTATCATACTGCTTTCATTTTACAAATGATGAAAAAAGAGGTGAAATGACTAAGGGCTGCTATTTTACCATAGCTATTGCTTGGCTATTTTTACTATTTTTTTTTATTTCCACTCACATTCTCCATCATATTTTTTTCATGGGTTTTATTTTTGTTTGTTTGTTTGCTTCTATTCTTTCCTCCACTTTTCCAGCCAACCTTCCTTCTCTTGACCTCCCATGTTGTTATGCACCATTGAGTCAGAACTGACAATCAGCAAGTTTTCAGAGACAGTAAGCTGTATGGGAGGAGATTCTCTATCTTTCTTCCACAGAGCAACTTGTGGATTCAAACTGTAAATCTTTACCTTTGCAGTAAAATCCCTTACCACTTAGCCACCAGTGTTGATCCTCTATAGATGCCTCAAGTTTTCCTGAAAGAATTGAAGTCACTTGGAGATGTGGCTAAACTTGAGGGGAATGGGAATCCCAGAACACTTGATTGTGCTCATGTGAAACCTATACTTAGACCAAGAAGCAGTTGTCAGAACAGAGCAAGGAAACACTACATGTTTCAAAATCAGGAAATGGGTGCATCAGGGATGCGTCCTGTCTTCTTTCCTTTTCAGTCTATCTGCGGAACATATCATTTGGGAGGCAGGGCTTTATTAGGAGGAATGTGGTATCAGGGTTGGAGGAAGACTCATCAATAGTCTACAATATACAGATGACACAACCTTGCTTGCTGAAACTGAGGAGGACCTGAAGCACTTGCTTCAGAAGGTCAAGGACTGTAGTCTTTAATATGGATTGAAACTCAACATCAAGAAGACAATTCTCACCTTTGGGCCAATTGGCAGCACCAATATAGATGGAGAAGAGATTGTGGTTGTTAACAATTACAGCTTGCTCAGCTCCACAATCAACAATCTTGGCACCAGCAGTCAGAAAATCAAAAGATGAATTGTGTTGGGAAAGTCTGTTGTCAGGGACCTCTCCAGAGTACTGAGAAGCAAAAATATCAGTCTAAAGACTAAGGTACACCTGATCCAGGCCATAGTCTTTGCAATTACTTGCTATACATCAGAGAGCTGGACAATGATTAAGTATGACAGAAGAAGAATCGATTTGAGTTGTGGTGCTGGAGAAGAGTCTTAAATATACTATAGACTGCTAAGAAAATAAACAGTCTCTGTCTTAGTGAGGGTAAAACCAAGTTTCTCCTTGGAGGCTAGGATTTTGAAGCTCCTTCTCACATAACTTTGGACACTGGCCAGGAGGGACCAGTTCTTGGAGAAGGACATTATGCTTGGAAGGGTGGAGGGACAGCGCAGGAGAGGAAGACCCTGGATGAGATGGATTGACATAGTAATGAGGATAATGGGGGTGGGAGTGTTGGAGTCAGTGAGACAGGTTCTGGGCAGAGCCAGCTTCAGAGCTGTTGTACATAGAGTCGTTATGAGTCACAGGTGACTCAACAGCCAAAACAACAACTACCACCTTCTTTTCCTCCTGTCTTTTCTTACTTCTAAGTTCACTTATTTTTCTTTCATTTTTCTTCTGTGTTCACTTTCTCTTCTCCTCTAGTCTCTAAGGAACATGTGTCTCTCCACCTTTCTAAAGCTAAATCCTTTCATGGGTACCTATGATTCCATTCCTTATCTCCCTCACACTCCCCCAAAATCCTCTTATTTTCCCTTTTAAAAATCTTTTTGTAATAACCCTCATACATCTCGATGTCTTTCTTTACTTTAGTGATATTATGCCAGTTACCTCTTATTTTATATAGCCTTCCCTTAATAAAACTTACTTAATTAATTACTTAACTTACTTACTATGGGTCTCTTATTTGATTTCTGGTTTTCTTTTCTCTTTTCCTCCCCTCCTATCCTTCATTAGTGTTAAAGATATTTTCTGTTTACCAACAAACATATTTGTGGCTCCCCATCAGGAAAACAACACAAAAATAACAAAAACCTGACATCTCCTTACTCTTTACTCCCACTGCTTTCTAAACTAAGTATGAATATTTTCTCCCATGCATTTGAGTCATACATCTCACCACCTATTATTTCTCTTACATATACCACATGTACCAATGAGCTATTTTTTATTTTTCTAAAACGACTATTAACTTTTCTTCACTAATTGTCTCCAGTAGGTTCTTTTTGTTTGTTTGCTTGTGTCTGTGTTTTTTTTTTTTTTTTTTTTTTTTATTCCAAATATGCTTTATTTAAAATGTGTCCTTTGGTGAAAGCTGGCTGAGACTCCATTGGTCCCAGGTAGGTTTTTATTCATTTAGTTCTTTGTCTTTTTGCTTATCACTTCTGTCTGGTGAAATCCTCTCAAACCTATCGCTTCTCGGCCTTTTGGCTAAGATCAAGTGAAATCCTCTCAAACCTATCACCCATCATGTTTTTTTAAGAAGTCTTGCTTGGTTTCCTCCAAATGGACATAATCCTGCCCCCCGTTTAAATCCCAGAACTCTATGTCTAACTTGCAAGATCCTAGGCTTCTGTCATCTATTTGAGTTGCTTCTTGAGGGCAGGGTAAGTCTTTCTGATGTTTGTGTCTGCTCCCCCGCCCCCGCGTTTCCCCATCTCCCCCCCCCCCCCCTTTGTGTCTAACCACGTCTGTGGCTCAGGTTACATACATGGATCTGGAGCTGGATGCTGTCTCTTTTATGGTTCTCTTATATCTAGCTGTGCGTGTGTGTGTGTGTGTGTGTGTGTGTGTGTGTGTGTGTGAGAGAGAGAGAGAGAGAGAATAATTGTCTCTTATTTTAGAAGCACCTTCTGTCTGGTTCCCCAAAGGCTAGCTTACTTTACCCAAATAACTCTGCTAATTACTCCCCCTGCAACTGGACAGTATTGTCTTGCAAGTAAGCTCCTAACTCTAATGCAGCAATAGTGTTTCTCTGGAGCCCTGTGCTGAGAACAGGCTGTAAACTAGTCTAAAATGGTTCAATCATTGCTGACAAAGCAAAACCAAAACAGAACTCAATTTTTAAAATCTGAGTAATCCATTATGAAAAGAATGATGAGTTAAAACCCTTGAATGGGAGACCTTGAATAGATGCAGTGAAACCTTTTACGAACCTGATTCATGACATTGCATTATTGCCAGGCCTGTGGAGAGAGGCATACAATCACAGAAGCGCCGCTGGCTCCCATCTGTAAGTAAGGCATTGTTGTTTTCTACTCAATTGATCAAGAGATTTAGTTGCTATGTAACATGTACACTGTCTTTATTTTTGGAGAAAGGGGGGGAGAGAGAGAGAGAGAGAGAGATGTTTCTAGCAAGGCTTTGACCCATAATTTTTCCTGTTCTGGTTAGCACTGAGGTTCATTCACATTTTAAAAATGTAAGTTCTTTCTAGTGGTGTTTCTTTGGCCATGACTGAATTTCCAAATCCTGACTGAGGATGCTGAGGCCCACAGGGGAAGGGTATCATGGTTATTTAGCAATGCCCTCAGTAGGCCTGGGATGGGCGTCAGGTTACTGCCGTTCTGTTGGAACATAGTTAGAATCATGTAAACAGATGTGCTCTTTCACCTAGTCCCCTCGGGAAGTCTATATACACTGATGAGACAGCTGGTTACATTTCAAGTTCTTTATGTGAGCCAATGTGGCCAAAGGTGGGAGGACTGAACAAACTAGCAGCCTTGTGCTCTCTGGAACTTTGATAATTTTATTAGAACATGCATACTTTATTCTAGTTCCAAATCCCAGTCTTTTTGTACATGGGAAAATGTCATATCTTTCCCTCAAACCCTTGGGGCTCTGAGGCTAGAATATCTGACCATTTTATCTTTTTCATTTTTCCTTGCTCCTCTCTCCTTATTACATTTAGAACTCTGTGGGAAATGTGCTTGTCTTCCCTTGTTGTTGTTGTGTGCCTGTGGCTAGAACCAACTCACATAGCTGACCCTCTAGCAGGTTTTCAGAGTCAGTAAATCACATGGCAGGAGATTACCCATCCTTCTCCCACAGAGCAGCTGGCTGATTTGAACCACTTGCCTTTGGAATTGCAGCACATTTTCTTACCACTAAGCCACCAGGTCTGTCAGGAGATTGGATGAAAAGGCTTCTCTGGTCCATTCATTGCATTCACAGAACATTATGCCCCTCCCCACCACCTTGGAATTCAATGGCTTCAATCAGTGGTCCCTGTGGCCCTCTGGGCTCTAATGCAGTCAAGGATAGGGATTATTGTGCCCTCTGCTCATACCTTTTTCAAAGCCCCTTTCCAGTAATGTAGGCCTGCTGAGATTGGAGGATATTACTGTACTTCTTGTTTGCTCTGGGGGAATAAAAAGGCCCCAAACTCACATTCTTTATCACAAAAAGTCTTTGGCATGGACTGGGATTGTCTGTCCAGCAAATCTCAAATAAGAGACATTTCCTATCCCTCCTAAACCCTCTAACATGGATTAAAGGTTCTGAGGGGGGGGGGGGCGGAGCAGGTCAAAGTAGCTCAATCTTGCAGGCAAGTTGAAACTCCTGTCCTATCACCCGATTCTTATCCCAAGCACTGCAGTATCTCACCTGGCCACAAATCTTGGCCCATCCCCTCTGATTCTGATTTAGTTCTCCTTGTTCTTGGTTTAGCCATTCTGTCTTTGCCCACCTTTTGTACACATCTTTTTTAAATTGCCCTTTCTTGGCTCAGGATAGAGTCCGGTTCAGCTAATGCATCTTCCCCCTAAGCTCAACTGCCTTTCTCCTTTCTTTTGTCAATTTCAGTGATCCTTCTAGGCTCCCTGTTCAAGCCCCCCAGGGAACTCAGCCCTTAGGAAATACATCTATTCTTTTGCATGGTTGAAAACATTTCTAATAGATAATAATGAAGTGTAGAAACCCACTTACGGTGAATCTCCACAGCCCCCCAAGGTCGTCGCTCCTCTCAAAGCAAGTGGGCTCCAGTCCTTCCTCCAGGCAGCACTTGATGGAGGCCAGGCCACTGACCCCAGCTCCCACAATTGCAACCCGCTTGGCCATGTTCTCCTGTGCAGAGGAAACCGAAGCAGAGCTTTTATTCACAAATGAAAGCCCCACCCCATCCTTGACTGCTCCAGCAAACCAGAAAAAAAGCCTTTGGAAGATTAGAAGATTTACTCAGTGTGAATCCTACAGAGTTGGTCTCTGGTATGTGAATATGAGAAGAGAAATGCTCAGGTCAATCTCTTAACCCGAGCACTCTGTGTTCCCACCCCTCACTCAGAGCTGTTGCCAAATGTTCCTACAGTTGTGGAGGCTGTAGCTTCTGGCAGAGTGCCTGAAACTGGACCCTGGACTGGGGTGGACAGAGCCTTGCATTCTGGGCGGGGCTGCTGTCTCCAGTTTTTTGTTTCTAATTCTAGAATTGGTTAAAGAGGGAGATCAGGGAAGGGCCATCTGGTCTAACACACCGTGCTGCTTTTCTTGAGTGAAAGTTTAAAAATCTCATTTGCTTTTTATTCAACAATTCATTGTTTTATAGCATTAATCACAATTGATTAATGCCATTAATTAATTATAATGTCTGATCAACTTTTTATTTTATAATCTTTAACCTATCTATTAATTTTTCCTCCCCTCTTCCTTCCCATCCCTTTTAGCCACCTAAAAATGATTCTATTTGTAGAACATTTCCTTAGCTTTTTATAGTAATAACATTATACTGTAACATTGTCCTTACATGACTAATGTATTTCATTCAGCTTTAGCTTCATTCATGCTGTGCAATGTTTCACAAATTCTTTGTCATTTTTCAGTGACGTATAGTACTCTATTATGTGAATGTGCTACAATTTCTTTAGCCATTCATCAGTTGACTGTCACTTAATTTGCTTCCAACTTTACTTGGTGCAATTACTTTTGTAGTAAACATGGGTGTGCAAATATCAATTCTTGTTGCGGCTTTTATTTCTTTGGCATATATACCTAGTTGTAAGATTGTTGGATCAAGTCATATTTCTGTTCATTACTTTCTAAGGAGTATTTTCTATAATGGTTTTACTATTTTATATTCTCACCAGCAGCTAACATACTTTCAAAGACATCCAAAACAGAATTTCAGATTGGTATGATGACACTGTATAAGGTGACACAGCTGCAGCTGGCTGGAGGGGGTTGGGACTAGGAGCCAGGACACTTGTGGCCCCCACAGATGCTGTTCTAGAGCTGCACATCCTGCTGTAGTCTGGAGCATCCCGATAGGTTGCTACTATGCTGAGAATGGTCACTAGTGAAAATGGGATCGTGACTACTGATGAAGATCATGGTGGCAAAGAAGCCATGGAAAACCATCCCTCCTTTCTCCATCTGATTCTCATTTGTCCCTCGGGAATGCAGCATTTTCACCATGGTGTAGGTTGGGCTTTCACATTGGCTTTCCTAGCCCACTGGCTTTAGGTTTTACTGCATGGCCGTATGGGAAAATGCAGACAAAGTGTGTAGACAACTAGTGATGGATTCGGTCATTTTTGCCATCGTGCTTTAGTTGAGCAGGTTTTGAGAAGCCTAAGATGGGAATTTTGCTACCAGAAAAAAAGAAGCAGTTGGGAATGTAGCATATGCCCTTAGAGGTCTCAGAGTTTCCTGCATGCAACCGAGACAGATGGAGGGAGAGACAGTCGCAGAGAACCAGAGACCAATGTGAGGCAGAGCTGATGAAGCACTATCGCCTCACAGAGTCTGTTGCCTTCAACTGCAATTTTTGGAGGAGTAGGAGGAGATGCCATGATTTACAGGACAGAGAGCTTTGTTAAACTGATCTGGAGCCTCAAGGTTGAAGATCAAAGGACCTGCAAGCATGCTTGAGAGGCTCTCTTAACTGAAGAATCACATCCTATTTCCAATGTAAATTGTAACCTGTTAACTTCTCAAATAAACTTCATAATCATGAGCATGGTTTTGTGAATTGTGTGACTTTTGTATCTGATTAATGTACCCAGAAAGCAACAAGAGGCCTGAGAGTGAAGGCTGGTGATAGTAGAAAAAGTTGTGGGATTGGGGAGAAAAGCCTGACCTCATGGAAACTGGCTCACTGTTGTAGATGTCGTTGATGAGAACTGTTGTCCCTTGTCAGATGCAGCTACATCCACACTCGCTTTATTCTTTCCACAGTCACCATCAACATAGATCAGCATCATTATCATGCATAAAGATAAGTATTAGTAGCACAGTCTTATGAGAATACTGAGATAGTGTGGTATACTGAGTAAACAATTATGCTCTGGATGCAGGCAGCCTCGGTGGAAGCCCAGCTCTGATGATTATAACTGTGTGCTCTTGGGAAAGTTATTTAACTTCTGACAAGAAGATGCACTGCTCCACAGAAGAAGAATGGGCCATCTCCTCCCATACAATTAACTGCCTCTGAAAACCCACTGAAGGCTCAGCTATGGGTTAATTCTGACTTGAAGGTACACAACAACGACAATATGTGATATAATGAGTAACTGTCAAGCCAGTTCCAACTCGGGGTGACCCATACTATCAGAGTGGAATCATGGTCTAGAGTTTCCAGTGGCAGTGACCTTTTGGAAGTAGATTACAGACCTTTCTTCTGAGAACCCCTGGGTGGTTTCAAATTGTCAACTTTTGCTCAGCCATTTGCACCAGCTCAGGATTGACTGAGTGCAACATTTTTAAGAAGGCTTTCTTTCAATTTTTTTTTTTTAGAATTAAGTGAGTAACGCGTGTCCAGTGTCTCTGAACAATGCCTGCTGCTGTAAATGCTCGATAAATGTGAGTTATTGGAACTGTAAATACATTTTGCAAATTTGGCTTTTTCCTTTCTCTTTCATATAAGTGAGTCCCTTTTCTTTAAGTATCAATAGAATTTTGGCTCAATAAGGTATGTTGTTGTTGTTATGTGCCGTCGAGTCGCCTGCGACTCACAGCGACCCTATGTACAACAGCCCTAAACTCCGCTCTGTCCTGTGCCAATCACACTGTCTCTGACACTCCCATCCCAATTATCCCAGTCACTGAATCAAGCCACCTCATAGAGGGCCTTCCTCTCCTGCGCTGTCCCTCCACCCTCCCCAGCATGATGTCCCTCTCTAAGGACCGGTTTCTCCTCACAACATGTCCAAAGTATGTTAGACGGAGCCTCAGAATCCTTGCGTCCAAGGAGCCACCCGGTTTAATCCTTTCCAGGACAAATCTGTTTGTTTTCCTAGCAGTCCATGGTATTCTCAATACTCTTCTCCAGCACCACAGCTCAAAGGCACCAATTCTCCTTCTATCCTCCTTGGTCATTGTCCAACTCTCTGATGCATAACAGGTGATTGCGAAGACCATGGCCTGTATCAGACGCACCTTAGTCTTAAAAGAGATACCATTGCTCTTCAGCACTTTGGAGAGGTCCCTAACACCACACTTTCCCATGGCAATGTGCCTTTTAATTTCCTGGCTGCTGGTGCCAAGACTGTTGACTATGGAGCCAAGCAAACTAAAGCTGTGTACAATCTCAATCTCTTCACCATCCATCCTGATGCTGCCAATTGGTCCAGTGGTGAGAATCTTTGTCTTGACATTGAGCCTCAATCCATATTGTAGGCTGCAGTCCTTGACACTCTGCAGCAGGTGCTTCAGGTCCTCCTCAGTTTCAGCAAGCAGGGTTGTGTTATCCGCATAACGCAGATTGTTGATAAATCGTCCACCAATCCTGACCCCACATTTCTCCTCATAGAGCCCAGCCTCCCGGATAATCTGTTCTGCATATAGGTTGAAAAGGTATGGAGATAGGATGCATCCCTGGCGTACGCCCTTCCCAATTTTGAACCATGCAGTGTTTCCTTGCTCTGTTCTGACGACTGCCTCCTGGTCCAAGTATAAGTTTCACATTAGAACAATCAAGTGTTCTGGGGTTCCCATTCTTCTCAGAGTCAGCCACAGTTTGTTATGATCTACATAGTGAAATGCATTTGCATAGTCAATGAAACACACACAGACATTCCTCTGGTATTCCCTGCTTTCAGCCAAGATCACAGAAGCCATGGAAGCTTCATATATAAGTTATTAGATGGAGGGCTGGTGAAAGGGAGATAGATGTGAAGGGAGGGGGTATAAGTGGATGGGTATCCTGCGGGATGGTGAAGCAGGAAATAAGTGGGAAAAGACGCATGTGAGAAAGGCAGAGACAACACTGACACTAAAATTAACTCCGCAATAAGGGATATACCTTTAACTTGCTGGTCTGTCTAATACTTCTCTAAATCTGAACATTCACATTGAGACAGACTAGGAAGAAGGATTGGCCATCCACTTCTGAAATAGCAGGCCTCTGAAAACCCTATGTATGTACAATAAGGTATACAACATTAAATCAGGTGGCTATTTTATGGGTTTTTTTCCTAATAGGATCTTGTGATAATTTTATCTCCTTAGATTTGTTCATTTTTAAGCATAAAGAACATATCTTTTTTGGACAAAGTAGACTCTAGTAGGGTCCATAAGAACTTAGTTTTCATAAAAATTTGCTATTTCCTTGCTTTACAGATGGATTTGCTTATAACTACTTGATATATGGGGTTTTAGTTTTTGTATTTCTAAAGAATTAGGAGCCTGAGAGAATGAATCACTGAAATATGAGCAACTCAGCTACAGAATCTTCATATGGTTTCCCCTTCTCCACTACCTTGCCCCAGTATTTAAGAAGCCCAAGGCTTAGAACATAATGTAATAGATACTCAGTGATTTTTTTTTTAATGAAATGTAAAGACTCTTTTTTAGGAGCTGCCAAGCTGTTTGCCACCTGAAAGCCCAAGTTTTTATATAGGATTGTTTAGGTAAAGGCTAGTATGCCATTTAGGAGACGTCATGCTCTAGACCCTGATAGACACTGTAGAACCAACAGTACCATAGAATTTTCCATTCCTTAGAACTTATTCTAGTAGCTTGATCCTACAGTCAGAGAAATAGCTGATATAGTTAAAAAAAAAGTGTGGGCATTCAGGCCAGGCACATCTGTTGCAAATCCTTGCTCTCTTATTTACCAGCTTGTTGAGAGAAAAACTGCTTACACTTAAAAAGCCTCCACTTCATTTGTAAGATGGGATGCCATTACTATTCACTTTGTAAGAAATTATTCTTGAAATTGGTCTCAGGACTGAGATGCACAGTCTTACATTCTAGATCTTTTTGCTTTCTCCAGTCTCTTGTGCTGCCAACCAGAAGTAT